CAAAACACCACCTCTCCCCAAAAACAAAAAATAAAAGGAAAAAAAAAACAAACCAAATAGAGGAACAAATCAGACGCGAAAGTTCTTGCCGGAAAAAGTCTGGCCGAACTGCCAATTGGCGGGGACGATGTTCCAGGAGGTGGAGCTCCGGCGATCGCTTCCGGTGATGTGGAAGGAGAGCGATTGGCCGACTAGAATAGCATTTGATTGCCAGTTCTGTCCCCAATTGCGGGTCATTGGCATCCACCCCGTGTTCGAGCCCTTCACCCTCGCGCTAACGATGTCGCCGGCGCCAGCCACGTTCATGATCAGCACCAGGTTGAAGTATCTGAACCCGTTTATGGTGAACCGGATCCCCCCCCCCCTCCGGCACGGCACCCTGCATCCCACCCAAATCATCAACTGGCATCATTGTGTAAATAATAAATAAAATAACATTATTTTACAAAATTTTCATGCATGCTGCAATTCTATATTATTTCTAGTCTCACACATTACTTTAAACATTTCAGCAAAATTAATTAATTCACAAAATAATATATATTTGGCATTTATTAATTATATTGAAAACTAAAACTTTTAGATATATATTGGCAGAGTGCAAAGTAAATGTAAAATGCTTGAAAATTTAAAAATATGTGCATTATTAAAAATTATTATTATTATTATTATTATTATTATGGAAAAGGAGGCACGCCCGATTATAATTAAATTCGAACAGTCCAAGGAATAAATAAAACGTGTGGGCCATGATGCTTCCTCAGTTCACGCGCTTCTTTCCGGACAAGCGGTTCCGAAGCGATGTGACCAAAATGCCCATAACCATTTTACAAATGACATCAGATAATAAAAATTAGCGGGGTAATTCAGTGTATAAAAATTAGCAAAACAATACCTATTTTTGCTTAGAGAATTAAACAGAAATTTATAGAAGCGATAAAAAGGTTAAAAAAATTTGACAACCGGGGGGTTACAAAGAAAATGCTATTAATACATTAGATGCAAAATTTTTCATTATGTTTTTCCATTCAACCACAATTTTTAAGTTCACCTAATTATTTGTTAATCAATCAATAGCAAGCCCCTCTATGAAGTAATTAAATCTAATTATTTAATGAATTAAATTAAAACCTCATCCCACGTGTAAACTTTTAGATTCCTATGTTTTTAGAAGACTATACCACTCATCCAAATCGAAAATTATTTTGTCAGGACTCCTAATGTAAAGAATCATTCAAAACCCAATGAAATCACGTCATGTGGTGGTGATATAAAAAAAAAAAATCAAACTAATAAAATAGGAGAATATTCATCCCATGTTATTTTGTGTTATTCATTGGACTCTGAATAGTTCTCTACATTAGGAGTCCTAAGAGAATAATTAATGCACAAAAAAATACTTTGATTTTTCACGGGAAAAATATACCATATTTACTTTATTAATGAAAAAATTTTATATGATATTAGACAGATAAAAAACATGGTCATGTACAGAAAGATTATTATATTAAAAAAAATACACAGATTGAATTTCAAAAGCAAATTTGAGCTTTTGGAAAAATAACAGGACTGAGTGTGAGAATTAAACAAAAATAACATCAAAATGGCTCAAATAGAAAGATTATAATTAAATATTTGCATCTTCTGTTGACCCACAAGTTCTGATAACGGCACTTCGAGCCTTTTTGGTCCTGTTTTAGCTTCACCCGTATTATATCTTATAAATCAATAATTTGCGTCAAAACAATTTCTTTAAAAGAATCCAAACGAAAAATAAATATATGTTCCGAATAAATACGAAAATAACCTTTCAATTAAGGCTAACAATTAATGGAGAAAATTTGGGGCGGGAATCCGGTCATTTCCAGTAATTATGAGCTTAGAACTTTCTGACGACTCCGTAACGTGCAGATCGTGTCGCTGTTCATATCGTTACGGAATGAACAAACACAAGCACAATATATATATATATATAGTAGTAAAGTTCAACAAAGA